TTTCAAACGATATTAACCATTAAGTGTACTGTATTGTTACTAGATAGCACTAATGATATAGTACTGTTATACGACAACAGACATTTACGGCGATCATGTTTTGTACTTTAAACCTTAATATTACCGTAGATTAAAGTTGTTTTTACGATGTGATTGCATCATTGGCCAGTTAACGTATTTGTTAGGGGACGCAGAAAATGTGGTAAGTGTGAGTTGAGATTTACTTTAGATGGTTCTCGAACTCACTGAAACTTAATTTTCTCTTACATATCGAATTTCTAGTCTGCAATTCGATTATAGGTTTGGTTTGAGTTTGAAAAAGGTGAAAAGGAAGGTTAGATTGCGAAGTTATATTGTGATAAATAAGTTAAGAGTGGTAGTAAAATAATTGTTGTTGACTGTATGAGGGCCTATATAATTGTAAACTGCCCAAAAACTTGCGCGGTGTAGGTATTGCCACATTAATCATATTTGACTTGTTGTTCTGTACTTAGGCACTTAGCCGTAGTTTGTACCAGGCTTAAAAACATTCTCGAACGTTAAGGGCGATGTTTGGCATGAAATTAGAAAGTACATTTGACCCTTAGTTCATCGTTTATTCAGACATTCACTCTGTTTTAGTAGCAGTAGTTTTAGCATTTTATTGCGCATTTGCACGAATCTTTTTATTTACAATAAACTACTTTAAATTCGTAAATACATAATATGTATTTATGAATTTGAATTTAAAGTATGTCTGTGTTTTTTTGGTAATCCGATATTTCGACCGAGTTGCACCGTTTATAGACATTTGTATACAAGTTTCGAAACAATTACGAAGCAAATAAAAGTTTTGCCTAAGATTAAATTACGGCTCTTCCAAATGGTTCAAATAACTAAATAATTATATTATGTCTTGGTACAATCTCATTATAATTAGATCAACAATGGGGACTCAATAGTGCATTTATAACAATATATATTATTAGCTGTAAGTATTTATAAAATATAACTGTTATGTTAAGTCTAAAGATTAAATAAGAACAGAAATGAAATAAGACAGTTTTTTTATTTATATCATCTATATGTAGAGATTGTCGTTCATGAACAGCATGTTTTGATTTACTTCATCAGCGTCATTGCTTGTCAGTTATTTAATAGTACTCTAATGATAATTTCCAGTACATTTTGAACTCTAATTTATAGACCTTCTGTGCCGTTACAGGTAAACATGTTTTGGACATGTGTAGATTGTCATAGCCGTTCTACATTTTTTAATTCATCGTCATCATCACATGCCTCTCCCATTGCAAGCCACCTAGATTGATTTTCGGATTCTAGCATCCAGCCCCTGCCATCCATCTTGCGCAGATCGTCACTCCACCCGGCCTGTGGGCGTCCTACACTACATTTGCCTAGACTGGCTCTCAAAAAAAATGTTAGATTTCTACACTTTTTAACATTCCCCTGTGTGCTAAGTTTTTATAAAAGACAGGGTACAAAAGATCTCATAGTTTCCATGTATTAAATATAGATAGTTTGCCGGCGTGGAAATAAAAGATCAAAATGTAACTACATTCCTTATGGAAAAATACAAAATTATTATATTAGTAAATATTGTCTTTATATTATAATTCATTCCATTGTAACTTACACAAATACGTATAATCCGAATAACTCATTAGGTTCTATCAAATTTATTTGTTAATAATTCTCTCACATAAAATGTATAATTTCGGTTGTAAACTTGAAATCAAATGTGATAAGGAAAAGCATTGTTCCTTATATATTCTATATATTGAAGAAAGTAACACGAAGATACGGTACATACAACACAAATAATTTTCCATATCTGTTTATAAATAATGGAGTTCTGAGGCAACAAACAAAAAAAACGTATCTAGAATCTTTTTAGAAGTCGCTTCAAAAGGTTTTAATCCATATTCAAAATAAACCTTTGCAATATAAAAATGAAAACGGAATAAAAATCATGCGACACTAATCAATCACGAACCGAGATTATTTGCACTTGTGTCAGCCCTCAGACTTAGTTATAAATGACCTCGTTAGGTGACACGGTGTAGTCAGAATGTGCAAGTAAGTAAGAAAATTAGTGATGCACCGATACCACCGCACGTATGTAATTTGTACTGCCGTTGTGGTGATAAACTGATGTGGTAGATATCTATTACCTTAATGCTGATGCTCGATTAGACGGTATTCGTGGTTTAGAAGTTATTAAGCGCATATTACTAAGTATTTCATATGAAAACGTCGATTATTTTTGTTAGTTTCTTAATCTGTTTCATTTCAACTCTGTTTCATTCAATAAAGAACTTTGCAGTTTTCTTTACTGTTGTTGTTTTTATTAAGGTTAATGATGGTTACACGTGGTTCCCCGGCTACTAGTAACTTAGTTGGTTTGAGTTCGACATGACCACCGGTTGTTGGTATCCGAGGCGATCTCAGCACAGAAAAAAAAAGCGGCCAAGTGCGAGTCGGACTCGCCCTTGAGGGGTGCCGTAGCAACAAGTAACATAATATAAAAGCTTGTAGTTCGTTGTAACTTTGATCGATTTTTTAATAATAGTGTATTTTTTAAAATTAAGTTATTGATAAGTAAACATTATAATTAGGTGCCTAAATGATGGGATTTAGATCTAACTATATGCGAGCTTATATAGGCTTGTGGTAGCTAAACAAGCTAATATATATTCCAGTTTGACAAGAAATATTTCTAAAAATATTATCAATTTGTGTGCCTCCTCGCGTAGTTGGACAAGGTGTTTGTTTGTGAAATTAAATGTTTTTTTTTGTTGTTTGAATAAAAGGTGAATTGCGGTTTACGATTTGTGACGTATTAAAAAAACTACTGACTAGATCTCGTTCAAACTAATTTTCGGTGGAAGTTTGCATGGTAACGTACAATAAATATTTTTTTAGTTTTATCATTCTTTTATTTAGGAAGTTACATGGGGGGGTGGGGGACACACATTTTACCACTTTGGAAGTGTCAAACTATTAAGTTTAGAAAAAAATGAAATTAGAAACCTCAATATCATTTTTTAAGACCTATCCATAGATACACGTATGGGTTTTATGAAAACCATTTTTGGGTTTCAGTTCTAAGTATGGGGAACCCCCAAAATTTATTGTTTTTTTTTCTATTTTTGTGTGAAAATCTTAATGCGGTTCACAGGATACATCTACTTACCAAGTTTCAACAGTATTGTTCTTATAGTTTCAGATAAAAGTGGCTGTGACATACGGACGGACGAACAGTCAGACAGACAGACATACATGACGAAACCATAAGGGTTCCGCTTTTTGCCATTTGGCTACGGAACCATAAAAAGGGTTAATGATGATTAGTTTTCTATAAGACTGCACACGAAGGACGATTATGTTTTTCTACTGTATGTTTGTATATATTTTTGTCACACACTGTAGCCTAAACAGCTTGTTGGATTTTGGCGTTTGAGGTGACGTTAGATTTGTCATAAGTGTAAAAATGGGAATATGATGATTGTAATTTTTTTATTAGTTAGTATTAAATAAAGTGTTAGAATTAAAACTAGTAGTATAGTAAGCCAAAACCTCCTTTTTAAGGAAAGGCATATGTCCAGCAGTGGCCTATTAAAGGCTGGTGATGATAATGTTGAAAGTTTTATATAACATTATAATAAATTTCAAAAATTTAATCCAGAACTGAGATTATTTCTCGCCTTATTAACTCTCTGCGATTTGCCAAATCGAATATTTTAAGCTCTGAATAAATACCCTTTGATGTATTTTAAGTCATTGCTTCCAGAGATTATGAGGATAAAAGATCACTACGTAACATCCGATATCAATAAGTGAACCGAAGACTGGCGGATATTCATGGCTTCAAGACTTTATTTTATTAAAATACTTGTAATTTGACACTTTCAATAAAACAAATTAGAGAAGGAAATTATTTTGACATTGCTAAAAGCAAATGGAATTCGATATTACAGGTATACTTTGAAATAAGAACATTTTCTACTTTATTTGACAATTATTTTAAAAGCGATGTGATGTGACATTGAACCTTTTAATATCTCGTTTTCTTTAAGCTCATCTAATATCTGTTTTTGTCACTAATATAGCACAAGCACTATTTTGGTCTCATGTAATTGAAGTCAAGTATATTACCGTGAACCTGGCTCTGTTCCAGACTCCATTCTGCTTTAGGTTGGGTCATAGGTATATCGAAATTCTAATATAGTTAAACCCAGTTTTGGATATTGTGATTGTATATTTTTTTAAAGTTCTTTGAGTGGTATTCTTATTTATAAAGACTGCAAAATTTTACTCATGTATGTGTTTCGAGGTGTACTCTTGCAACGCCTGATACTGGCGTGAAAGTCGCTAGATCTCTTGTTAAAATGCCCCATCGTTTTAGAAACTCGTCAGGTGTCCTTGAAATAGGTACGGTGGTCGTTTTAATAACATTATTTTACTAACACCAATCTTCAATTAAATAATAAATCACCTGGCTAGAGCAAGTTAAACTGCCCGGGCTGGGCGTTATTTGTTACGCAGATAACACGCTGGTCACAGCTCGGGTGGCGGACTTTCAAGAGGCCGTGCTCCTAGCCACCAGGGGAGTCTCTCTGGTGGTCGGGCATATTAAGGTGCTGGGTCGGTACTGCTTCTGGGTTCTATATGGGTGAAGCGAGCCTCGTGACAAGACGGCTATACATGGGGGTTGTCCAACCAATGGCACTGTAAGGTGCACCGGTGTGGGCGGCGGCTCTGACCGCCCATAATAGGGAACGCCTACAAAAATATTAACTAGCATAGCATAGTGGTGCATGATGATTATAAAAATATATGTTTTTCTTGGCAGATGAAACCTTTAATTAATGTGTTGTCACTTTTTGAACGTTTCAAACAAAATGTTTTTTTCGGTTGGTAGTAGACTATATTAGCTGTAAAAGGGTAAGTACAATCACATTGCAATCATCAAAGTGATTAGATAGATAATAAAAACTTACTCAGCTTCTTCGACAGTCTCCGACATGGCGAGGAAGACACAGTTGAACAGTATAGTTGCCATAACGAAGTAGTCGAAGTACTGATTTGTAGAGAAGTAGACACATGCTCGCCTCACAGGCGACCACGGCGAATACCAGAACAGCGACCTCGTCGCTGTAAACCGGTGTATATAGTTCTTGCGGAAACGTTTTGACACCACGCAGAACGTCTGGAACAAAAAAATAAACTATTAATATACGTATAATGTTATCTATTATCTACAACTTTATTTTAATTGAGTCTTTTGCTAAAAATTTAAACTTATTCTTCACGATAAATTAAACTTATTCAGTATAAACATTAGAGAGACTGACAAACTGTTAAATGTATCGTCCTTGTCTACAAATATCATCATCATCAGCCTACCGCAATCGACTGTTGGACTGATAGCCTCTCTGATTGCACGCCACATAGATATAAAGAACCATATTTCATCATCACAGCCAACATCAACAGCCTATAATAAGTCCACTGCTGGATATAGGCCTCTCCTTAGAAAGGAGGTTTTAGCCTACTATACCACGCTGGCCAGACCGGTTGGTATAGGTATAGGTTTGTGTCAAGTTTTCCTTCTCTTTGCAGTGCTGTTGTCCTGCGTAGTTTGCTCCCTTAGTCGGTTCTTACGACACCCAATGGATGAATAGGGGTGGTGACATTCCTTATTCTTAATCCGTCACCACGCGGACCACCACAAGTAGCATATTTACAATCAAGAAAATAGTAGGATCTAGGAGGGAGGGAGTAAAATTCTGTTGTACCACTACATTCTAGCAATCTAGAAGCTTTGCCATAGTTGTTGACACCACTGTCAAGGTGCTTGATAAAAGTTATCTTGATTTTCAAAGTCTTCAATTCAATATTAACAATTAATTTTGGACACTCAATTAACACTCATTTAAAACTCAATTAGCATTAAATAAGCTTTACAGACTTCAAAAAAGAGCGTTTTTTCAACGCCTTTTATACCATATTATGTTATAGATTTATACGGTGGTCTGAAACCGTAAACATATGAATTTTGATATAACACATTATAAGAAATCTTTTCTATGAATTAAATTTCATTTGATCTGATATAACTCATATCTGAATTACTGAAGCCTAGCAAATCCAATATATATTTCAAGAATGTTTACTTGTCGAGTTTATTTATTCATTATAAGTAAAGAGACTGAGTATTGAGAGCCAAGTTTTGATATTAATGATTACACCATATTAGGTTATGAAGGCTAACTATAACTACATAGCTGCCTTAGACAGAAGGATGTATTTACATATACATACTGTGTTTTATTCTGTAACTAATTTTTAAATTCTGTTTGCTATTAAGTTATTGTAATGCCAACTTTGGAAAGGTTTTCTCTATTGAAGTTTTTAGTTAATTTAATGCTATGAATTTGGCTCACATATGGACCGAGAGGCGGCTGCAAAATTTCCAGGGTATCTGTTAAATTGATGAAAACCATCAAAAATGATGGTATTTATGTTAGTAAAGAATAAATGTAATAGTGAAACATCAATGACTCAGTGTATACAAAGTTACTTCAGTCTGTTAGCGACTATGGAGCAAAAGAAACGTGTTTAATTGCTACTATGAAATTGAGCGACACAGTGATCCACCTCAAGCCATGTCCTCGACAACCGTTCGCGAACAGATGGAAAGAATTGGTAAAGATGGCGCCCCTTGGATGATTCATCCCAGCGTTGTTGCCATTCGTCTATGAGGTCATTATAGACATCGGACTGCTGTTGAAGCAATCTTGTAATTTTACCGCGATCCCGCGCGCCCAAAAAATCGCATTCCATGTTTTGTTGTCTTGAATAGTACATGGCTGCACGTCTCTGCACTTCGAGATCGACCGGAAGCACACCCGCCAACACTGGCAAAGCCTCGGTGCTTGCTATGCCTTGCACAAGAATATCAGTGCAAGTCGTTGGCCTTGTAACAGTTTGCGACGGACAGCGCCTACGGTCGCCCTATCGGCCCATACAGGTGCACCATAGCACATAGAACCTAAATAAGTAGCTCCGTATATGATCTTTAATGTATTAAATGATAGACCCCATGTCGCAGTTGATATCCTTGTCAATGCACAGAAACTCTTTTTAGACTTTTCATTAACTATTTTAATATGTTCGATAAATGAAAAGTTTCTTTCTAAAACTAATCCTAGGTAACACACTGAGGCCTTATTTTTTACAGTAACATTGTCAAATCTAATGCTTGGCGGTGATTTGAGGTTACCTTTTAAAAGTAGCTGGAAGGTTTTGTTGGGTGCAAAATTTAAGCGATTACGTTCACCCCATTGAGATATCAAGTTCAAACATCTATTGGCTAGTCTCTCAAGCCCCGCCCTAGTATCAGATTCCACCAGTAATAAGCCGTCATCAGCATACGCGTTCAGAGTACATCCGGATGGTATTGGTATCGCAAGAAAATCGTCGAAGCCGATATTCCACAAGTATGGACCTAGCACCGATCCCTGAGGACATCCCATTGTAAGCGCCTTCGACTCAGAATGATGACCAAGTCTTAGTTTAGTAGTACCTTGTGAAAAGTACGAAGATATAAGGGAATAAATATTTTTAAAGCACCCCCGTGATTTTAATTTCAGCAACAGCATGGGCCACCATGCGTTATCGAAGGCGCCAGATATATCTAAGAAAATAGCCAGCACGTATTGAAATTTTGACTCTGTGACAAACTTTCTAACCGATATAACAGCGTCAGTTGTCGATTTACCCAACGTAAATCCAAATTGTCTATCATGAAATTTGACTCCACCTGGCAAAAGCCGGGGCACTACAAGACGTTCTAAAAGCTTTCCTAACGGTGGTAACAATGTGATTGGTCGGTAGGATTTAGGATCATCTGGTGGCTTGTCGCCACTTTTTGGTATTATACGAATATTACCGCACCGCCATATACGAGGAAATATTCCTTCAGCAATGCAACGTTTAAAGACAGTGAAAATCGTGTCACCCGAAAGTTTACAAGCTTCTTTGATCATTTTGTTAGATATTTTATCATCGCCCGAAGCCTTGTTTAGTGGCAAGGATCTAATGATACCGAGAAATTCGTCTGAAGATGGTAAATCAGACATTGGAGACAGTGGTGGTTCGATGGCCCACTGCCTGATCTGTCGGTGATGATCAGTATCGTTTTCCGGCCGATCGTCAGGTACGAGTGATTCTAAAAGATATTCTGCTGTTTCTTCTACTCCTGTGGTATATCTGTTATTAATTTTGATGTTCTGTATGTATGCAAGGTCGATTGATCTATTTGCCTTAAATTCGTGATACAAAGGTGACCACGGGCCCTCTCTATCGAGTCTATCGACAAGTTTCTGAATTAAGTTTCCCTTCGATTTTTCCACTGCAGCTCTGTAGTGGGACCTGGCAACTCTAAGAGCAATGAGAGCATTATTGTACAAATCTCCTGTTACGTTGTGTTTTTTAAAATTGTTTAATTTTCTACGAGCTTTCCGGTAGCTTCTACGTAGTTCGACTAATCTATCATTCCACCAATCACATCTACGAGTGTTAGTGATAGATCCGCGACCAATAGATACATCAGCGCAGTATGTGAAAGTTTCTGATAGTATTTCTGCGCTTTCCTCAGCTGATAAACTACTGCGACTGAAGTCTTTGGTATGAGTTGCAAATAGTGAACCAAACAAAGCCCAGTTCGCACCTTTAGTTTTATATCTAAAATTAAAAGGAGCCCTTTGTGGATCCCGTGCAACCCTTGGTATGAATTCGTACACGATCAAGCGGTGATCACTACAGGATGCGTCCGGGAGGACACGCCATCCGGATATCGAGACGTCGCCGCGCGTAAGCGTCACGTCAATAGAAGACTCACACCATTGGGTTGCAAAAAGTTGGTGGTGCATCGGGGGTATTGTGAATAGTAAGATTCATTTCCGCAATGAAATCTTCAACCGCACAACGTCGAACCGTGTCGGTTGAACGCAACTTGCCATACCATAATGAAGATGACGCATTGACATCAGCGCCAATGATAAAATTCCAGGGTATCTGTTAAATTAATGAAAACCATCAAAAATGATGGTATTTATGTTAGTAAAGATTTGTATTAAAGATGACGTAGCCGCATCGCTCCGGTGCCGTATCGCACCGTCAACGCATCGTGTGGCTTGGCTCTTAGTGTTTAACCGATCTCATAATATCTATCTTGCACTAAAATTAGCAGCGGAACATTCAGTCAAAGGTTCCACTCTTATTTGATGACGTACATACACAAAACTTCATTGACGTGAACAAAACAAGAGCTTGTTCTTCAATAAATAAACACCCTGTAACTATAAATACAACAATATTGTATGTATTTATCACCTCCATATATGTTTAACAACATTTCACAAGCGACAATTATGAGGCTTGCAAATTAGAGTCGTTAATTGGCCAGTCACGTGGCACAAGCGAGTCTGCACCGAGTCGTTAGTGAACACCGAGTCAACGGAACCCGCTATAGTTTTAATTACCGCGCACGGATTAATACCGCGATCGGAATAATTGTTTCACTCTGTTTAAATTCAAATTAACTTTTCTATAATCAGGTACTGTCGGACGCAAATTGGGTGCAATGGGATGGTTTTCTGTATAGAACATTTCATCAACATAAAGAAAAGTAAAAGAAATTTCCTAATTTATATCCTGTTTGTAAAGATTTACTCAGTCTACTGATACTGATTTACAAATAACATTAGAACTTTCTAGACATCTATTTATCTATCTTCCACTAAGAGAAATACTTTTGTCTTCCTAGTAGAAATAGTTCACACGATGTTTAACTTCGCACTTCACTTGACACTCAATTGGAAAGTTAACTTATGTTACAAGTGGAAGTGGTGAAATAACAATGATATTTCAGAATAAACATGGTTGTATTACAAATCCGGCTGGGATTATGCTTATAGCCTCGCACTGTCGGTGATAGGACGTCGCAACGACTGGCAGGGCGTGTCGAAACGGCGCAGCTCCGGAGATCAGCGGCAAATATATTCCGAACTATTTCTTGTTACAAAACGACATTGTTCTATTTGGAGATCCGAAATGCGATTATACAAGTTGGGTAACAATATAAAAAATGTAACTGATATTATGTAATACAAATTGAGTTATTTAGTAAAATAAGAAGTTTGTGTTTTTTTATTTAGTGACACTAGTAGAGAACATGTCGATATTAACACTCCGGCATGCCGCATTGTACATGCGACTCGCTCTGATATTAAAATCTTTTTTGTAACAGATAAGACGCCCGTGAATCTGTTTACGAGTAATTTTCATATAACCAAGCCGTCGTCTTGTATTGTTAGTACATATATAATTAACCCTTTAAGTTTCTACCAATTACAGATTAGCACTAACACTTATAACACACAAAGTTTCGACTCGACAATAATTTCAACAGTTCATGAAATTTAAACATTGTAATTTACAACAGTTGAAACTTTACTACACCTGAACTAATTGTTAACAAAGGCTGACAGTTATGTGGAGTTAATTAGACCTTGTGATCCCCTTGGGGGAGTGATGCTAGTGGAGTGACGTGAGCAATCACATATGTTCAGTTCCTACCACACTTGAACCAACGTCTATTGGGACCTGCTAACAAATAAATCGTTCTATAACTGAATGTTAACATTTATTTAAGGAAGCTATAAATAAAGTTTAA